GCATGGGCAACAGAATCTACTCTAGCTTTCTGGATTTTATTCCTTAATTGCTCAGAGTTTCAAGGGGTGCAAGTTATCTCCCAGGCCAACTCTTCAATCCTGCAGCCTCTCGGGGCCGCACTCTACAGATTGTTCTGTGGCTTCATCTCCCCCTCATCAAGACATGCCCTCTGCAAATCCCTCTAGCTCATACCCTCACCTTCCCTTCTCCTATTTTTCACAATGTGCCAAGGGCTCTGGCGCCTAAAACAAACCAGTATGTATAATATGCAACTTTTTACTGAAACAAAATCATCGTTCATGGTCCCCAGAGATATTTTGCCAAAGAGACTACTGTTAAATGAACTGCAACTTTGGAACTTATCTATGGTGCCAGGTCACTTAAGAGCATCTTGTCTGACCCCTAGTTTTGACCTCATTCATGAAGCTGTACAGTGTGGTTACCTACCACACAGTGAGCAGGGATGAGCAATGACAGCTATTAGAGCTGCAACAGAAAAGCATATCTGGCCTGGACATTATATAGCTGTGAAAGGGATAAAGGCGTTTCCTAAAATGGGATTCTACCTGTATCATCCAATGGTGGACAGAACAGAGCTGGAGACTGGTCTCAGAGACAAGGCAAATCATTGGATGGGGAGGGAAAAGACAGAAAAATATCAACTAGAGTATTTTCTTAGGGATAAAGAGAGTTAGATTGAGTCTGATTTTGAGTTGAAGATGACCAAAGTTTAGCTAAGTTTTCCTGAGATACCATGGTATTTTAATAATGATACAATTTATATATATTATTATCCAAATATATGTTATCCAAAATGGTTTAGTTGAGCTTAACCCTTGCAACTCCTCAAATCCTTTGGGGGAAAGAAATATACTAGAATATATAACAAAATTTGTAGCTGCATAAATGATCCTTAAAATCTTGTAAACGACACCAGCATGGTCAATTTTAACCAATAAGGATAATTTCTCAATTAAAATGAGATGAACCTACCTGTAGAATTTCAGGTGAGACTAAAGCACTAGCTGAAGTTTTTTGTTTTCCATATTCCATGTTTTAATTAAAAAGATGTGCTGTGAACTACTGAACAGAAGAACAGAAAAGAATGTACCTGGGTCGTAACAACAACATGACACCAAAATCAACCTTCTATGAATGTATGTATGTATATGCACGACTGGGACATTGTGCTGTACACCAGAAATTGACACATTGTAACTGACTATACTTCAACTAAAAAAAAAAAAAAGAGAGAAAGAAAGAAAAAATAAATAAAACCAACATTCTATATCCAGCAAGCTGCTAGAGGAGCAAACCATTATGTATCAACATTCTTTTCATTTTCAGAAAAGCTTTGATCCTCACTTCTTCCTCCTTACTCTCAAATCACTTCATATATCTAACATGTAATTTTATTTGGCCACTGCTTTATTTTCTGGGTTGAAATTACCCAGTGACCATTCATTTGAATGAAACTTCTAGTCTAGAAGAAAGAAAATGTCTTAGATTCTTATCTCGAAACATAAACAGTTCCCTTCCCTACACTGATGCAGGTTCAAAGTGTGCTTTTATCAAGCATCAACACATTCTGACAGCACAAAATCAGCTCCCCTACTTCTGTCTAAGCCGCCTGCGGAAAGCTAAAACACAAAGTTGCTTCCAGCTGAAGACTGCAAACTCAAATCTTCCTTATCTCGGAAAGCAGGGGGAAAAAAATTAAAGACATGTTTGGTTAACCTGTTCCTTGTCAGTAGCTCTACCTGACAAAGCAGCCACCTCCTAAACGCTGGTACTCTGTGCAAAGTACACAGAAAAAATCTGCTTTGCGAATCTCCCTCCTAGAACAGCACTGAGGAGTGGAAGAGAAGCAATACGAATGCTACTCGTGCTTGCTGCTGGCATCATTCCTTACCGCTTGGAAAAGTGAGACTCCATTGCACCTTAAAGATTTCTTTCAAAATGCCTTGTATGTTCGTTAAGACTGCCTCTTATAAACCATGTTGCTCTAGACCCTTGGGGTTTCCTCCTCTCCCTGCCCAATTCGCCCATTCTCCTCCTTAGGTCCGTATTCCTCCCAATCTCTCCCCAGGAAGAAGCAGCCTCCCACAATTCAGCTCCCAGGCCCTTCCCCAGCGCCTTGGGAATGCGTTCTCTCCGGGCCTGCTGGGCAATCCCACATCAAAACACCGTTCCCGTCCTCTCTCCCTGGCCCATGCGCCTTGAGCTTCTCCCGGCTTCTGTCGCCAGAGCGGCCCGGAGCGACGAGGTGTGGGCTGCGCCCCAGGGCAGAGCAGGGAGGACAGCATGCTCTTCTCAGCCGCGGCCTGGCCCGCCACGCACGCCGGCGCTCCTCAGTGTCACCCACGGCCCCGCCGGGCCCCACCTCCCGCGCTCACCCCGTGGAGCCGCCGATCATCGCAAGGCCCGAACCCCAAGGCGCGACGGCTCGCAACGCCACCCCGGCCGCGCTCCGGGATAGGGCCGGAGAGTGGG